CCACCAGGGGCAGAGCCTGCGCTTCCAGGACTGGGACAGAGGAACCCATGCACCACTGTCCACAGTCCACATGCCGGCAGTCCCTGAGCAGGCCTCAAAGGTGGGCTTCGGACTGGCTGGGCCTCCTCCCCGTGGGCAGGTTCTGCTTGGGCTCAAACAGGACCAGTGACATCCCTAGCTGCGTTAAGGCCCAGGAGGAGCTGGTGTGGTGGTGCACGCCTGTCATTCCAGCACTCTGGGAGGCTGAGGCAGGAGGATTGCAAGTTCAAGCGCAGTTTGGGCATTTAATGACTTAATGAGCCCTAGTTTCAAAACAAAACACATATAAAAAAAGAGCTGGGGATGTAACTCAGTGTGAGGGTCCTGAAGTCAATTCCAGTAACATACACACACACACACACACACACACACACACACACACACACTCAAGACCCAGTAAGGCTGGGTGGCCCATGCCTGTAACCCGAGCTACTTGGGAGGCTGAGTCAGGAGGATCTCAAGTTCAAGCCCAGCCTGGGGCCACTTAGTGAGAATGTCTCAAAGCAAAATGAAAAGGGCCAGGGATGCAGCTCAGTGGTAGAGCACTTGCCTAGCATATACCTGGCTCCAGACTCCACCCCCAGTACTCTAAGTAGTACCCCAAAGGAAAATCCAGCTCGGGTTACCCCAGTCTATGACAGTGGCAAAGATTAAAACAGTGCCCCTTTTCTACCTGAGGCCAGGCTGGTTTTTTCTTAAAGGAAATCACAGGCCTGCAGCGATACTCAGACAGGGTCACCGGGGCCCAGATGAGGCAGGAGGAATAACTTCTGATACTCCATACCGCAGCTGAGCAACCATGGCAGCCAACAATGAATGGAATATTTCCAAAGCGTCCGTAGAGATTTCAGAGGTTTCCCCCAAAGAAAGCAATGTTAACTATCTCAACGGTACATGTGCCACTTACCCTGACCTGATCTTTACCCACTGTGTGTTGAAATGTCACCGTGAATCCCAAAATATGTGCAATTACTCCGTGCCAGCCCAAACTCATGGGTAATTCTTAAATAAGTCATTTTTAACAGTCGTCGAGCGGGTGGCGGTGGGCAGGGTAGAGCACCAGTCGAAGGAGGTCAGAATGACATGATCGGGAAATCACTGTTCCGCAGCCCACGGTGTGACACGGGTGGGTGCCCGTTGAGCGTCCTGCCTCGGTCACAGCTGGTGTGACAGGATCGGGCAGCAAGGCCCGCGATTCCACATCGTGTACGCGTCCTGGAGAAAATCCAGCGCAGAGGCGGGAGAAAGTTGCCCGGGAGTGAGAGCGCCATGGTGACCCTGGTCAGGGACCGCTGCCCCGGGGTGACAAGCACGGTGTCCCCAGGCACTGTCACACCCCCTCAGGTTGGTGGCCCTTCTAGAGAAGAGAGGGTCCCCCGACTGTGCCACGGGGCTTTTTCCTTAACAAGTAAGGGATCCGCGGGGATGAGGACAGAGGGATGGGGCGCGTCGTGCACTGTCGCTGTCCTGCGGGGAAGACACGCGTGTGGAGGGCGGAGGGGCTGCAGGGCTGGGCTGAGGCTGCAAAGCAGGCTGCCCGGCCACTGGCCTCAGCAGGGCTCCGGGTCGGTGCTGG